TAGTGCAACTCTTGAAGAAGAAAAATCACTCCTGTAAATTAATGTGCGACTGCTCAAAGATGTAAGTAATTAAATTTTCCGCAGACAGGTTTTTAGTGAACAAATGGTTTTTTGCAAAAACTAATGAACATTTCAGGCTCGTTCAGGGCTAGATTTGTTCGTCATTACGAGGGCTACATTTTACGAAACTTTCAAAGCTTTGCGCTTAAATCTCAATGAACAGAGAGTGAGTGAAAAAAAACCTTTTCCGGTGGTTTTTATTTTTTTTTCTATTTAACTAATAGATCGATTTTAATGTTCCACGTCTCATTTTGTAGGTATTTCGAATACCTACATTTTTTATACCGAACTTTTTTCCATACAATCAATATCTTTCATTTTATAAGCGAGAAGTTGCTTTTTGCAACTATTCGATTTTTTTTTCACATATTTTCTTCACAAGCCTCAAGTCTCAAACATACGCATTTCTTTTCTGATGGCTTTTCGAAGATTTTCGTGAGGAGAAATGCTGGTTTATAATTTTTTTCCGGTAAAATTCTTCTACTGAACTATTCTTGCTACTCGAGTTTATAAAGGAGGTATATAACGCGCACGAGAAAAATCGTAAACAATTAAATATCTCGTAAACTATTGCGTTTTAACATGATTTATACTATGCTGGATTAATGGAAGGGGTACATTATTAGTACACTTTATGAAAACTTATGTTATTTAGAATGATCCTCGTCCCTAATCGATGCCGTGGGGCGCCGAGCGGCCGAAATTCCCGAGAAGATATTTTCGATCGCTTGAAACAAATGACTAGTGTGAGGAAGAACTCGCTGTCTCGTTCATTCTCGACGTGCCGACGGCGAGTACACGTACATGGGTTCGTACTGGTATGTGTGTTACAACGCCGCACCACAATAAATGACTGAACTTGTAGGCGTTGAAAAATGACTTTTTGACGACGAAATTTATTTTGCATTCCATTTCGTTATTATTTGCTTAATTGTGAAAATGTGACTTGTTTCGTACTTATCGAAATCGTAATTATCGATGAAAACTAAAGTTATTTTGGAATTTTATATGTAAAAGTGTATATTTTACTCGTTTCAACAGCTGTCAGACTGTGTGTTTCTGTCCGAATATAGGCTCGCTTTACGTGCCTTTTACTACCATTTACTGACTATCAAGGGAAGAAAGGACAGTTTTCATCCATTTTTACAAATGTTTTAAAGCGATTTCGTCATTTCGTTTCATCTAAATTGTTTTTATTTAAAAATGGCATGCAATATAAATTAACTCCTGTCATTCCTCGCTTCTGACGTCACGATTCCAACATGGCCGTTGCGACTAGTCAGGAGCCTTAAGGGGGAACCTATTTTAGAACGCTGAAAAGTAGCTGTTTTTTGCGAATTTTTTATGAACAAATCATGAAGCCAGTCTTTTTAAAACTTTTGGGGTGATTTGTCATATATTTCAACAATACAAAATAATTTTTTAATATGAAAATAATGAATGCAATAATAAATTGTATATTAATCATTATTAAACCAGGTTTCCCCCTTAAGTCGAAACATTCATATTAATATGTACTATTCCTTATTCATTTAGAATAAATTAATCTTTACCTTTTTAATTTTTTTAATTGGAATGTTTTATTAAGCATTATCTTTTTACAAGTGTGTGTGTGTGTGTGTATGTGTGTGTGTGTATCGAGTCTCACTAATTATTAATATGTAATATTCAGATTATATAATACTTCCAAATTTTTTAAGAATATCACAGTTTTTATGCATATATGTTAACTAATTCTTTGATTTCTATAGTTTATTATTACATATACGGTCCTATAATATATTATATTATTTATTTACGTCGTCTAAAGAGACGTTGTTCTTTCATATACCAATTATTGCGAAGAATATTACTAAGCCCTCGTAGTCTAAAGGCTTAGGACGCTCACACGGTATGCAAGAGATCCGGGTTCGACTCCCGGCCGAGGTAATATTTTTCGCAATAAGAATTAATTATTTACAGATTTCAATATGTTATTCATCATCAATAAGATCGTTTCAAAGATGCGAATAAGCATCAAAAATTTGTTAAATTGCCAGTCAATTTAACTCGTAATATTACTGCGGTAATTTAATAGTTAGCGTTTCAAGACTGAAAAATCATTTCGGCACGCGTTTCTGGGGACTACATACGTAGTATATAAATTCACATAAGAATCACACAAGCATTAAGATATATGCATAAACTGTGATATTCTTAAAAAATTTGGAAGTATTATATAATCTGAATATTACATATTAATAATTAGTGAGACTCGATACACACACAACACACACACATTTGTAAAAAGATAATGCTTAATAAAACATTTCAATTAATAAAATTAAAAATGTAAAGATTAATTTATTCTAAATGAATAAGGAATAGTACATATTAAGCTTAAGACTTTGATTTCTATAGTTTGTGTTATCACATATACGGTCCTATAATATATTATATTATTTATTTACGTCGCCTAAAGAGACGTTGTTCCTTCATATGCCAATTATTGCGAAGAATATTACTAAGTCCTCGGTAGTCTAAAGGCTTAGGACGCTCACACGGTATGCAAGAGATCCGGGTTCGACTCCCGGCCGAGGTAATATTTTTCGCAATAAGAATTAATTATTTACAGATTTTAATATGTTATTCATCATTAATAAGATCGTTTCGAAGATGCAAATAAGCATCAAAAATTTGTTAAATTGCTAGTCAATTTAACTCGTGGTATTACTGTGGTAGTTTAATAGAGTTAGCGTTTCAAGACCAGAAAAATCATTTCGGCGCACGTTTCTGACGACTAGTATCTGGAGACACTGGTAGTGTCTCAGCGCTAAGCTGCGCGAAGCGATACTGCCGTGCTCCCTTTACGCGAACCGACGAGTTGCGGCAGATTAAGATTGTCACATCTCAAGAACGGCTGAACTGATCAAATTCGACATACGCTCAATCGATAGCCAATACTTAAATTATATAATAAAAGTGCTTTCATTTTTTTTCTACGTGCCCTACGAACGGAGATTTCGTGATGCAAACTCTGAATCTCTGATTTTTAAGAAACGTCGTTATTATTGTCATCATTATTATTAACGTCGTCGACCAGTAGATATATGTCGAATAGGGGAGAAATGTACGTCTCATTTTTTCGATAATAGATGGCTTTTTACTTAACCAAGCGATGGTAGCATTGCACATTCGAACATGATCAACCACACATGACTGTGATAATCAGCGATGCCAACATTGTCACATGTATATACAATGTGACGCGCGTGCGGTGCAAAAATACGATGTGACGTTCATGCGGCGCAAATTTTATTAATTAAAACTAAAATGAAATATTAATTAAAATTAAAATGAAATATCAAGATTGTCGTTCAAGATCTAGGTATTTACCACGTCGAGGAAGAGGATGTCTAGATGTTCACCGTCGAAGGAGTGGGTGTCTAGATGTTCGCCATCGAGGAAATGGGTGTCTGGATGATCGTCGTCGAGGAAGTGGGTGTCTAGGTGTTTGTTCGCCGTCGAAGAAATAGGTGTCTAGATGTTCGCCGTCGAAGAAGTGTGTGTCTAGGTGTTTTCTACATTTTCACCATCGAGGAAGTGGGGTGTCTAGGTGATCGCCGTCGAGGAAATGAGTGTCTAGGTGTTCGCCATCGAGGGAGTGGGTGTCTAGGTGTTCACCGTCGAGGAAATGGGTGTCTGGATGATCGCCGTCGAGGAAGTGGGTGTCTAGGTGTTCGCTATTGAGGAAATGGGTGTCTAGATGTTCGCCGTCGAGGAAATGGGTGTCTAGATGTTCGCCGTCGAGGAAGTGGGTGTCTAAGTGTTCGCTATTGAGGAAATTGGTGTCTAGGTGTTCGCCGTCGAGGAAATGAGTGTCTAGATGTTCGTCGCCGAGGAAATGGGTGTCTAGGTGTTCGCCTTCGAGGAAGTGAGTGTCTAGGTGTCCGCCTTCGAGGAAGGGAATGTCTAGGTGTTTGCTTTCGAGGAAATAAGTGTCTAGATGTTGGCTGTCTAGGAAATGGGTGTCTAGGTATTCGCCTTCGAGGAAATGAGTGTCTAGGTGACGGCGAACACCCAGACACTCATTTCCTTGAAGATGGACACCTAGACACTCATTTTCTCGACGGCAAATACATAGACATTCACTTCCTCGACGGCGAACACCTAGACACTCATTTCCTCAAAGGCGAATACCTAAACACCCATTTCCTTGACAGTCAACACCTAGAGACTTATTTCCTCGATATAAATTCACATAAGAATCATACAAGCATTAAGATCTAGTTAGACCGTTTAAGGCTTTTATTTCTATAATTTGTGTTATCACATATGCGGTCCTATAATATATTATATTAATTCTTTTTATTTATAATATTTTAGCATTTCCTGAATAAATTTGCCATTCGCATGAATGAATAAGTAAACTTCGAACTTTGCGAAGCTTCGAAGATATCATATTTAACTTCGAAAATTAGAAGTTAACTTTGAAGCTTCAAATTCTTTCGAAGCTTCGAACCTTCGAAGTCAGTCAAAAGTAACAGCTCTACTAAAAAGTAACTCGTTACTTTCTAGTCATTACTTGTAATGGGTAATGATTAACGTTACTCGTTACAAATTACCTTGTTTAGTAAGTAAACGCATAATGATGCAAGTTACTTTTTAAAGTGACTTTCCCAACTAGCGCAATCTTAACATTTAGTTAGTTATCATTATAGTGATAAAAAATTGCAACGTCATTATTGCAATCAAATTGTTATTATAAAAAGTAACGGAATAGTAACCCTTCCATGCCTTAAGGCCTAAGTTATTTTAGTTTATCTAGCAGGTCCTGAAAAATATGGATGGACGAACCGTAAAGAAATTGTTAAAATGGTATCCAATCTCTTATTTAAAAATCTCTAATTCTATCTACGATTTGTTGTTTCTTAATTCTACATCGATAATTTGATGTGTAGGGATATGATATGGAAGATGCTATGGTCATCAATAAGTCTGCATACGAACGTGGTTTCGGACATGGAACAATTTATAAGTCCGAGTTTGTTGATTTGAATGATAAAAAGAGTTATTTCGCCCGTGACCCAGAGAGACCTGATCTTGAGAAAACCATAGATATTGACGGTTTACCTAGACCACGTATTATTATTAAAGAAGGAGATGCGTATTATTCGTAAGTACCTCTTGCAGCTTCAATATCATCATGTTATGATCTCCTAAAAATCTCATGTATTTGACAGTTATTACGATACCGATAATGCCCAGTATGTAATTGGAAGATATAGAAGCACAGAAAACGCTTACATCGATAATGTAAAGCTATGCGGTATATTAAATAATCAAGATCCGCGAAGGGCGTGCATTACATTCCGTATTCCTGTTGGTACAATTATAAACATATATACGTAAATATATACATGCACGCATGTATATAATCCAAAATATATATTTTTAAACATTCGTATTTTGAACAATTTGTATTTAATTCAAATGTATTAAATTTTCAGAGAAATCCCACTGTTGGAGATAAATTTGCGTCAAGAGCGGGACAAAAAGGAATCCTTTCGCGGCTATATCCTGTCGAGGATTTACCGTTTTCGGAGACTGGAATGGTCCCCGATATTATATTCAATCCGCATGGTTTCCCAAGTCGTATGACAATAGGTAAACTAAAGAATTAATTTTATTATTAGGAGTGTGATTTAGTTTTGAGGGTTTTTTTTTCTCAAAAACTGATTTATTTAAACAAGATAATGAACGAATATCTTAATCAAAATATTTTTCTTCATTTTATATAACTTTTCCATCTTTTTGGCAAAAGATGGATTCCGCGATGATAAAAAGATTCTTCTTTTTGGAGTTAATCCAATTTCCAACAAATTTTCGCATTCTTCGCATATCTTCGAAATTATGAAAATGCGCCTCTAGAGCATGTTCCGGAACAAGTAAAGTCAGATGGAGCAATGTCTGGAGAATACGCGGAGTGCGGTAAGACTCCCCATTAGTTATTACAGCTCTAATAGCGTTTGTTTCACTGATAATGCAACATGAGGTCGAGCATTGTCGTGAAGAAGGATCACTTTGTGTCGCAATTGGAAATCGTTTTGGTCAAATGGTTGCTTCAATTTGTATAATTGTTGTTGATAATGATCAGCAGTGATCGTTTCCTTCAGATTTAATAATTCATAGTAGGGATGTAATGTACGAAAAGTATCCGGTATCCGGTATTGTCCGGCACTATTTTTACTATCCAACCGGATAGTCGGATTCATTCGTATTCGAGAATATATCGGGTTGAAATTTTATATCATTAAATTGTTGATTTTTTATTATATAAATGTTCTATAAATAAGTATGCATACTCATAATGCTATAATATCTTATATGTATAGTGCTGCAAAATTACAATTTTTTCTACAATTATCATCCCTCTATTGATATAGTTCTTTTCGCTCCCTTTTACTTTTTTTACTTAGCCTTTATTTTGGAACACATTGCCACGCAATCCAGTCAGATATCCGAAAAATATCGAATATCCGCCACGAAAAATTGCCTTCTCGGATATCGAATATCTGATAATTTTACACATTTTGATCCCATCAAATACACAGTAATACCTTTGAATCATTAATATTGCGCCTCGGGGTGAATGTTGCTGGTTGGCTTAAATCATGATTTTTTTCCTTTGGGATTATCAAAATAGATACATTTTTCATTAGAAACAATTCGATACATAAAACAATAAATATGAAGATTAGGGAAGCACCCTCCAATGACTTTGATCTTGATATATTGTCAAGGTCATAACCCTGAATGATTTTGAGAAAATTTTAACCGTCGGATGGTTACAAAATTATAAACAAAAAAAGTTTAAGAAGTAATGTCTCATTTTTGCTATATAAAACCAAAATTTTCTGCTTTAAAAATATTATTTTGTAACGATGCACCCCCAGAAAGGCCATCGTTTCCGGTAATGCCAACTCGCCGGATGCCGCTACGGTGACCCCCCGTTCACCGTAGGCGATGAGAGCGCGGTGCGCTCGAAATAGTGTAAAGTACGCAAGCACCAGTTCAGGCCGCGTGAACTCGCAAGTCCGCGAAACCCGAACGTCGCCGAACGACGCCGAGCGCCGCAGCTCTCGCTCGTATTGTTCCACGCCGAGAGTCACCGAATGATCCCGGAACAATACGAGCGGGAGCAACATTTAGTATAAAAACGCGGCGAGAGAATAATCCTGGCTTTTTGCTCCTGATCCGCTTCCTGGCACCGACCGACTCCTAGCTCCGATCTCCTAGGCAATACAGTGGTGGTAAGGGTGCTCTCTGCCACTACCGGCATTTACCGGTCAGTTATTGCATTCAGCTCCGCTCTCCGACTCACCGCTCCTAGCAGGCTCCTCGAACCGTCTCGCTGCA